CCTCTCTCTTCCCCTCCTCCCTCTCTCCTCCTCTCTCTCCTCTCTCTTTCTCTTGTGTTTGAAGTATAGGAAATTTATAGAAAAATTGTCTCAGATTTTTTTGTCAAATGTTTTCTCGAATATAGTGAAGTACATTCACTAAGTTATGATAGGTGTAATGTTAATTCAACTGGTTTTTTGAAAATTGCATGTTACATATATTGCTAGCAAGTTTGTGCTTTGGTAGCAGGCACTAATTCCCACGTGTTCTTGAAATTAAATATTTTTTAATTTGTCAATAACTTTATGGTATCAGACAGCAAACTTCTATTTGAGTGTTTTTGGTTCTTAAATTTAGTTCCCATCCTCCAATGATTCACTTTTCCTAGTTTTCCTGTAGCAATCTTCAATCTTGTTGAGAAACCTATTGCCTGAGATTTATTGAATGTGGAGGTTGTCAATTTTTGCTCTTCAGTGTTTAGTATGCATTCGGTTGTATTGCAACTATTATTGTAGCAATAGTGTACAGCCCCGTACAAAAGTATCTCAACGCTATATCAAACTTGTGAAATAAAACAACAAACATTTTTTGAATGATAGAAATATAAAAGTAACTTTCAAAGGTTGAAGTACACTTGATTCTAGGATTACATATTTCCAATTAAGTTTCTCAGTAGAATACACATGCTGCAGAATGAAGTTTTTGCCAGAGACAGGAATTTCTGATTAACAGACCGTACACTGACATCGTAAACTAATTTTGTGAATTGGATCATGACTTTGATGAATTATTGAATATGTTGTTAAATTATTGTGTGAAATACTCTTTTTATTCCATGTTTTTAATCAGAAAGAAAGGAAATTTATACGAATAAAAGTGGCATAGGCCTCAAATAATTAAACTAAATAAAATTCATAGTTTAAGTTAACAGCTATTGAAGTGGAGGTTCTAATACAGTTTGCATGATTAAATATATTAATATTTAACTCCATAGGCATTTACATTTTTTCATGAAGTCTTCAGTAATGACTTCAATCTTACCCACAGTGCTATTACTTCTTAGATTATTATAGAAAGAGGCATAAATTAATAGTATTCACACACATTTTCCTGAACCATGAAATACCTACTGCCACTCCCTTACCGATATTAGTTGAATTTAGAATAAACATAATTGTTACACTGTTGACAAAATGTAATTACTGAAATTATTGTTCACTTGTAATGGAAAGAAGTTTTCATAAAAAAATTGGCTACAGTTTTAATGTCGTATGGTCGAAATAACCAACACCAACCCTTCTTGCATCTGGTGAAAGGAGCGCTCTAGAAAAACGTGTATGGATAATAGAAACTACAAGAGATACTGCAAATTATGGAATTTTGCTGTTTGTAGTTCTCGTCTGTTGGGATATCGCAACACTTGTTTATTAAGGGCTTGGGAACGGTCAACCTCCCTTGCAAACTTAATATGAAAGGCTTTTAGATTACGTCATGGGAATATTTTATGTTGGCAGTGTTCGACATGTATTTCAAAGTGTAGGTTTCCTTCATAAAACTTGTTAACCTCAAAACCTGCCAGCAATTTTGGAAAATGTGTAGATCTGTATTCTCATTGGTTTCAGTGGTTTCCGCAGATTTGTAAGAAAAGTCGCTCTTGGAGATGCAAGATGAATGGCATGTACTTGTTTTCCACAAGCTGTTTGTAATGTTAGGAATCTCGATATTCTGTGAATGCTTCTTGACGGAAAAATAAAGGCCATGAAAAAAACTAAAAATTAGCAGATGTGTGGCATGTGCATGGATGGGCCACTCATTTGAAGATGAATTTTACATAATTAAATATATGTTTAATACCTGTTGGTTTGTGTGTGTGTGTGAATGTTAGTTGGCATGGTAATTGGTTCAAAATTTGATAGTAATCATTAGGTAGTTGATGGGTCTTTTGGTTGTAATTATTCTATATTTTCATGATGACTATGATCCAAGTACTGATCTTGATGAAACTTTAAAAATCTGATCATGTGTCTCAGAGGTGAAAAAATAAATAGTTTTTGCAGTTTTGTAATATGTTTTGTTTGCAGGTAACAGTGGAAGCAAACTTATGAAAACAAGGTGAACAAGACTGAAACATGGGTATGTTGATTTGTTGAATTACCTTAATTCAATTTGATATTAGTTTCTCTGAAATGTTCATAAAGTTTTTACTGTAAAATTATAAATATGACAATTATAAAAAAGTATTATTGCATAAAAGTCCATATTTAATTTAAGATTATTAGTGCTATTGTTTGTAGTACTGTACTATTATTGTTGACTTGACTCATTGAAGAAACAATTTTGGTGATACTAGTGATCTGCTAGTTGAGTGTTGTACGAAGTTCAGTTGTTTTCAGACACCCCCTCCACTTAGTGCTACAAACCTAATAAAGTGAAATAAACCTAAATAGGAGGGCAAGAGGATCATAGGAATGGGTACGCATGAAATAAACACCATAGATAAGATAGATTTAAGGAAATTTATTGCAGAAACGGCACACAATTCATGATTTCACTTGAGGCATCCCCTATAGCCCAGAATGGGTCTTGGCGCAGTCTCAGGCAATTTTGGTGCCATAAATACTGTGAATTGCATAGCCGTGTCCTTGTGGTGAACATCCCCTTGGGCCAGTCCTCCATGTAAAGGACGCCAGCTGGATTCAATGTTTGTGTGAACCTGTTACTGGATCCACAAAAGGAAGTATGTTTCACTACCCCATGGAAATAAGTTGTTTTGATGCAGCTGGCTGAACTGCCTCCAGAAGACTGTAAATTGTGATGCTGGGTTCCACATGCTGCAAAAGCAGTTGCAACCTATGGCTGAATACCCCCTGTAATTGGGACATACTTCCAGGCAAACTTCTTTCCTTGTCAATTGTGCCCAGAACTCTGTCCTTCTCCAACAAGACCACAATATTTCCGTTGGCTGATCTTGCATTTGTCAATCTTGATGATATGGTTTTCGCCTTTGATGGTTAGTATTTGTTTTTAGTGTGTGGTGGGTGTAATTCATGAACAATTGAATGCCACACTCCACACAAAACCAACAGATCGCTTGAATAACCACAATTTTCATGGCAATCACTAATGATAGGTTTATTGGTTTCAAACTGTCTAAACCAATTAGTTTTATCTAAATATTGTGTGTTGGCACTTATTCCAAGAAATGATACGAAGTTAATAACTATTTGTGAACTTTGCTCAGAAAGAATTAATTTTGGTGAAAGTTGTAATACTTGATATTTTTTATGATGTACTTCGATCCAAGTCCTGAAGAAAAATTGTTGAATGTTTTATTTTCTGATCTAATATTTGTTATAATTCTTATTAATTAGATCTGCTGTAGTTGTACAAGTACTGATGCTATTTCTTTCAGGTTTATGGTGGTTGTGGGAAACTGATTTCACTTTTATTGGTGTAGGTATTCAGATTCATGATATCAAAAGATAATTTAAAGTCCAAAAAATCAATATTGTATAGGCTTCATTGATAAATTTCATAAATCTGCTAATTTTTGTGTAGAGTAGGCTAGTAAAAATGTAAACCACGCTAGTCACAGATAATTGAGAAATTGTCAAGATATCTATTTTTTCAGACTTCAATATCCCTAATACAACACTTTTACTCAGTAATTTTTTAGTTAAATTTGTTATCGGTGTAGATTTTGTTCACATTTTTGAAGTTAAAATAATATGCAAACTAAAACTATTGTTAAGTTATGTGCAAGAGAATATTGAATTATTATTACTCTATTAAAATCATTGTTTCTGTGCAAGAGTACATGATGTGATCGGATCCAAGTCCTGAAGTTCATCTGTTGAATTATTTAAGTATCTGACATAACTTCCTATATTAATTGGAAAGTTAACTGTAAATTGGTTTTTTGATACTTGTTCTATTTACAGAGTTGAGACGACCTCTCTTGATAAATGGGATTATCACAAACTCCTCTAGAGACTCCTGTCCACAAAATACAGGACACCTGTCCACAAAATACATGACACCAGTCTAGAAAGAAAATACTAGTTGCTGGGGAACTGTGATAGGTATAAAATATTTCTACCCAAAATCTATTTTATGGATTATAAGCCATATTGAGCAAAGCAGCTTGTTTTGTTACATGTCTTGTTACTTAACTTATGAAGGGCTTGGCCAGGAAGAAAATCAGCCACCCTTGGACATTTTTAAATTAAACTTGTTATTGGTTTAGGTTTTGTTTAAATTTTTAATTTGCAATAATATGCAGAGACACTTGTTAAATTAAACGCAAGAATGAATTGAATTCGTATTACACTATATTAAAATTAGTGTTTGTGCAAGAGTACATGATGTGATTGGATCCAAGTCCTGAAGTTCATCTGTTGAATATTCAATTGTCTGACATAAGTTCCTATATTAATTGGAAAGTTAACTGTAAATTGGTTTTTTGATACTTTTCTATTTACAGAGCTGAGATGACCTCTCTTGATAAATGGGATTATCACAAACTCCTCTAGAGACTCCTGTCCACAAAATACATGACACCAGTCTAGAAAGAAAATACTAGTTGCTGGAGAACTGTGATAGGTATAAAATATTTCTACCCAAAATATATTTTACGGATTATAAGCCATTTTGAGCAAAGCAGCTTGTTCTGTTACATGTCTTGTTACTTAACTTATGAAGGGCTTGGCCAGGAAGAAAATCAGCCACCCTTGGACATTTTTTAATTAAACTTATTGGTTTAGGTTTTGTTTAAATTTTTAATTTGCAATAATATGCAGAAACAAAAACTATTGTTAAATTATATGCAAGAAAGAATTGAATTCTTATTCCACTATATTAAAATCGGTGTTTGTGCAAGAGTACATGATGTGATCGGATCCAAGTCCTGAAATTCATCTGTTGAAATTTTGAATTGTCTGACATAAAGTTCTATATATTAATTCAAAAGTTCACTGTAAATTGTTTTTTTAATACTTGTTCTATTTACAGAGCTGAGGAGAGGAAAACCGGAGGGGAGAAACAGGCATCTGTGGGTCTCTTGGAATATTGTTAAGCACTGTGATAAATATGAGTATCACAAGCTCTTCCAGAATCTCCAATGGACAGTCCACAAAGTTCAGGACACTTGTTGCTGGGACCTGTGATTGGTATATAATATTTTTACCCAAAATATATTTTGCGGGTATTTCATCAAATTCTGTAGTTTGTTTGCATTACATGTAAGTTTTAAAAAAATAATTTTTTATAGTAGAAATTCCAAGTTTGCTTGGGCTACATAAAACCAGTGGTCTTCCATTGTTGATCTTGGCTGTCTGGGTGATGCACGTCTAGGGCCAACATTTTAGTGTATGAAAGAAGGGTTAAAAAATTAAGTGGGGAATGATTTTTTAATATTACATTAAAAATCAAATTACAATGTACATAAATATATATTTAGCCCTGCTGTGTTGTATAAAAAATTATTTAGAGCTTTGTACTTAGGGGACATAAACTACATTATGCAAATTTGGAGTGTTTTAATTACCCCCCTCTCCCCTCTGTAACACACCTGTGTAACTCATACTTCAAATTTTTTATCACAAGCTGTCCTGCACATCGTGAATGATGCATGACTGAGTGTCTGCAGTACTAATCTAAATGAATTCTAGAATATACTACATATCAGTTTTGAATATTTTCTTCGTAATCTTGCAGAGTAAATAAATAATTTATGGAAAAATATTTCCATTTATTGTAAGGTTTTACTTTAATGTTTTAGTACATGACTGAAAAGAATTATTTGAGTCAATGATGGGGGGGGGGGGGCAAAACTAATACTCTGCTACCTCAAACCCTTTCCCCCACCTCCCCCCTCTTTAGCATTTCATAATTTATGAATGACCCCTTAAAAGAAGGAAAGGACACAATCTTGAGGCCATCATACTTATGTATTTGTATTAGTCTTCAATGATCAGTTGTGTTTTTAATGGTTTTTAACGTTTTCAATTTGAGATCATGGCTGAATTTTGTAATTATCTAATAACGTATTTCCTCTGAACTAACATTGAGCTCTTAATTTTCATTATCAGTCTCCCAGGCAGGAAACTTTATAATATGTTTTGTTATTTATAAGTGTAATTCCTTTTCTTCAACAGTTCTTTTACTGCCATTTTTCTTTTATCTACCTGTTTAAAAGAAAAGCAATGTAGTAAGAATTGAAAAGAAAATTATAAAGAAGCCCCCAAAACGTTTTTTTATGAAATTGTTAAATGTTGCTTAAATTTTCATGCAATCGCCATTACCTTACTTCTACTCATTTCAGTGTTTTGAAGTAACTGCCATTTTGAAATTTTGAGTGTTTGCAAGTGTTGCTAAATCAGTTGCCCTTCATATTTGAGTGTTCGGTTCTTTTGCCATTGCAAATTAATCATAAGCTCTTTTCATATTGGTCATACACGTCTTCAATTGTACCATTATTGTAGTAGGAAGTTCCAGAACTTTCAACAATCACAAAAGTATCACAATTTATCATGAGTAGAAAGTCTCTATTTAGTTCTAGTTGGAAATGGTTAGTATGCCCTTTGCTTGACAGTGACTTTTATTAAAGTCTACTGATTTCTTCAGGGCAAAGAGAAAAATGATCTTGTCAATATTGTTGTTTTTCAATTTTTTTGACTGATCAAACAAAACCTACCTATTGTAAGTAATTGAATATTGGTTGTAGAACTTGGGGTTGTAATATAAGCCAAGGACTGCATAAATTTTCACATAATTGAATTGTAATCTTAGCTGAACTGCTGAAATGATTTTTCAAAAATCTACTGCTCCATAGAGTTTTACATTATTGAATAAATTTGTGGACATTTTTAAAAAAGTCTCGTAATATCTTAACTGAACTTAAAGAATTGAGAAACTCGCATCATTAGGTTTTTAATCACAGCTAAAACATCTGAAAACGAGATGTATCCTTTAGTTTGGATTTCTCTTGATGCTGAAATTAATTTTACTTTTTGCACACTACTTGTCGAGAATAGAATACTTGTTCTGAATAAATACTGAAAAAATTGTTTATGGCCAAATCTGAATTTGTCTGTCCATGTGTAAATAACCTAGTGACTAAACCCTAGGAAGGATTTTCGGCAAAATTTATTTTTCGCAATTGATCTGGCTGATATGGCCCCTTGAATTCAAAACGTTTCCAAAGTTTTCTCAGAAATGGCTCCTAATTATTTCTCTCGGACAGAGCGAAGGACATTAAAAATGGCTGCTGATCTGATTTTTGTTAAATGCTCTAAATATTTGAAATTGTAGTTCAATTTTTTTTGTATCTTTTTGCAACTACAATGTAATGAGCCATCATAAAAAATGACAGTATTCTATATCTCATAAGTATTTCATTGCCATGCGGTCCAAGCCCTGCCAGACTGGAAAGGTTTTGCATAAGGGAATGGGATTGTTTGTACAGCCTTGGAGAGTCAAGATTTAACTTCAACTATGAGATTGTAATTACTTCATCTCCAACCCCTTCGCTTTCTGGCCACTTGGTTCTTTCGTGACCACCTCTATGAATTTAGCTTATTAGCATTCACAACGAGATCAAAGATGGAGCTCTTTTTAACGAAAGCTATTTCTCAAAATTAGATCCTTCACTAAGGTCTTGAACAGTTTTATAACTGAACATTTTGCATGACTGCATGAAATTATTTTTTTCTTCTTCAAATATTCTAAAAAAAGGTTTGAATTTTTAATAGTTTTCTTGAATGGATAGAGCTAAGTGCACTGAATAACTCTATGAAGGTTTTCAAAATTTACACAAGTTCAAATATATAAGGAGTAGAAAGAATTAGATCAGGTGCTAGTAGGAATTAACGGTTAGTTTGCCCTTTGCTTGACAGTGACTTTGTGTGAAGACCACTGATTTCTTCAGGGCAGAAAGCAAATTGATCTTGTTACAAACAGTATTTTTCAACATTTGTAACTGATCAAACATCACTTGCCTGATACTGTAATAGTCAAATATTTTGAATTATGATTGGTATAAGTTATTTGGAAGTGTAATAAATGTTCAGGACTGTTCACAAAACTTGTTAATTGTCATCTTAATTTAACTGCAGTATTGGAGTTAACCAAATTGTGTGGGCAAATTCGTGAAGATTCTGTCATGTTTTCGATAACCGAGAAATGTCTAGAGTATCCTTCATGCATTCTTGTTGAAATACCTAATAATTTTTGTATTTCTCCCTCTACGAAACAATTTGTAAGTCTTCTGTGCAGGAAATAAGAAAATATAGCAATTTAACTGGAAGAGAATGTGCAATGTGTTAGATCCATGAATTTCATACTTAAATAGTATTGAACTAATCTTCCAGCAAGATGAGATTCCATGTAATTTTGTTTTTCTGATTAATTTTTGGTCAGCAAGGAAGTAGCTGAAACAAAGTTTCTGCTCTGTGCAGTATCTGATATACTTTCTTTGTATACGTAGGTGAAATTTTTTTTTTTTTCAGGGATTGCCTCAGTTGCTTTTGAAAGTGACTAATTCAGTGTGTCAGGTTATCCCTACTGCACATTGTGATATTTTCTCTGATATTATTAAAAAAAAATCTTATATAAAACTAAAATTGATAAAAATAGCATTCATCAATGCTAATAAGAGCAATGAAAGTGGTGGGAGAACCATGAAGCTCAAATGGAAAAAAAGAAAAAAAAGAATGAAAAAAAAAAATAGCACCATATATGTGTTGGGATGTAGATTAGGTTAGTTTCCTCAAGAGTAGACCAAATGTGCATTGAAATGGGAAAGTGTTTGTGAGTGGCCAAGTGAAGTGCTCTTTCAGATGAGTATCAGATGTACCCTCACTTGTATAATTGGCCTTACGTGGCCAGTATTACACTGTAAGAGAACTTCATAAAATCTTTCACGAGCTTTGTTGAAGATCTTTAAGCTTTGATGAACATATTACATTGTATCCAAAATATATTGCAATGAAATACATTGTTTGAAGATACTGCATCCAATATTTAATTCCCTTTCTTTGAAAGTGGATCTACTCATTTGCCTACAGACTCTATTTAATTAAAGCAGCATTGCCCAATGCTAAGGTTACTGACAATTGGAGAAACTTACATTAGTTTATCGTTTAAGCACTAAAATTTCTCTATGTACTTTGCATGGAATTATTCTAGAGAGATCAAGCCATTGACAGTGCAATGAAGGGAGATTTTTTTTCAGGGTGAGAAATGCATTCTAATAATAACACATTAATATACTGCTACTGCAAGAATAATCGTTGAACGTCAGTGTAAATTATTGCTCTCCATATTTTAAATGAAAGTAATCTTGAATCTACTTCATCCCAGGAGTACATAAAAGATTAATTTTCCTTTCCCATTCTCATTGCAATATCTCATGCTGCTTCTCCAATATGTTTTAATTCATGCGTGACAATTCAACATTGATTGCTTGTACTGTGCCTTTGTTGTACTCTTTGTGTATTTTATTTTAACGAAAACTTGTGCCATTGCATCATGTTACATACCATCATTAAGGTATAGATTGTAACATGTCGAAGGAAATAAATAGATTTTTTTTAAAGTTTGTGTTGTGTATCTTCATTTTCTCTGCAAGACATTGACTTCTTAGCCTATTCAAAATATATATATTTTTCCTGTATTGGACATGTTCAAGTGCCCAAGAAATTCTCATACACTTCACATTTTCGTTTTTATTTTAATATCGGGATGGGACTATCCTGTAAAAGTTGTAGCTAATGATACTTCCTAGAAAAACTTTCATTGCACTCAATTACTCATATTTGATAAAAACTTTGACATTTCAGACTAGAAATTCAGAAAGAATTTTATGAAGTAAGTACAACTTACCAAGAATTTAGAAGAACTTTATCAAGTAAAATGTACTTTCTTGGAACTAAATTACATGATGCTTCCAATATAGATTGTGAAGTGTGTTGGAGAGGGGAACACACTTTCTGACATCCGAGTATCATTGCAAGTAATTGCATTTGTTTATGAAATTTTCTAACTACAAATACTGTTATCTCATATGTACACACCTTTCTTAATAATATTTACTGAGTCATATACAATTAAAATCATGTATGACGAGTGAAATACATCTTGGGAGCAGCGAGTGAAGTTACATTGATTTTTATTGTCCAGAAGCAAAACAAGGGGCCATCTCAGCATTTGCTCAAAGGACCAGGGAAACTGGACAAAAAACCTGATCAAGATGGGGGCAGGTATTTTCCTATTTCTACACCTAGTCCTACTGCAGCACCTGAAATCACATTGCACATGTTAGTCATTGAGGTATTCCTGAATGCTATAAAAAAGTTTTTCCTCAAGGAAATGTTTTTTTTTTAGAAGTTGTACAATCCTGTCGTGTTTCTCAGATGCATTGGTAATTTGTTGAAGAATTGTATACCTGAAGAGAATGCACTCTTTTGGTATAATGTGCTTGTACACATTGGTTGATGAAGGTTACAAGCTTGCCTTGTGTTATAGGGGTGTAAGCTTGAGTTGAATTTGTAAAGCGTGTCATTGTTTACTAGATTTTTCTTTACAAACATGATAACTTCATAAATAAAAATACAAGGCAGTGGAAGTATGTTAAGTTTTTTGAAATGAGGTTCTGTTCTTTTTGTATTTGTTATTGTTCGAATGATTCTCTTTTGCATTTTGAATTGTTTGTTTAGCCTCTGGTGCTTGGCCCCATATTATTATCCCGTATTTGAGAATAGAGTGCACGTTTGCTAAGTACACTGTTCGTGCTGTATCAATGGCGCTGTTTCTTATTATTGTTCTAAGAGCATAATAAGTTTGCTCAATTTTGAATTAATGTCTTCTAGGTGAGAGTTCCACTTGAGGTTGGATTGTATGGTGATTTCGAGAAATTTTGTTTTCTGTGCTTGTCTGATGCTGTTTCCTTCTAATGTTAAATTTGGTGAGTATTGTTGTGTTGAGTGGGAGTTGTGGAAGGGTATTGTGATTGTTTTGTCTCGGTTTAGGATTAGTTTGTTATGGTGGATCCATTGAACTAGATTGTCGATGGCTAAATTGGCTTTGTCTTGCAAAGCATTGTTTGTTCTTTCTTTGAATATTATATTAGTGTCATCAGCAAAATGTATGGTTTTGTTGTTTTCCATTATTGATGCAGGTCATTTACAAATATAAGAAATAAAATCAGGCCTAGTGTGGATCCTTACAGGACCCCATGTCACAATCCTTGGCTCAGTGATGGTTATTTTGTTGTCTTTTTGGTAAGGTAATACTACTATTTGTTTTTGGTCTGAAAGGTATGATTTTATCCAATTGTAAGCTATCCCTTGTATTCCATATGATTCTAATTTTGACAATAGAATTATGTGATCTATCATGTCAAAGGCTTTTGACAGGTCGAGAAAGAGACCAACAGGAATTTCTTTTTGCTCTAATGCCATGAGTATTTCATTTACTAAGGTGAATAGAGCAGTTTCGGTTGAACGATTTTCCCTGAATCCATGTTGGGAGTCAGTGATAATGTTACAGTGTATCAAGTAGTTTTTTAATAGTTCTTTCATAGAACAGTTTTTCTAATATTTTTGAAAACCCTGACAAGAGTGAGATTGGCCTATAATTCATTACATCTTGTTTGTTACCTTTTTTGTGTATAGGTTTAATTACAGCAGTTTTAAATATGTTTGGGAAGGAGCCCAGAGTTAGTGATTGGTTGTATAAATATGTTAATGGTTTGATGATATATGGAGCAATCTTTTTTATTAAGAAGTCTGGAATTTTGTCTATCCCAGCGGATTGTTTATTTTGCATTTTGTTTGTAATTTGAAGTATTTCCTTTTCTGATGTTTCTGTGATGTACGTGCTAGAAAAATATTTTTTTAAGAAAGGTGATGGATGTAGTGTTCGGATTTCTTGTTTTTAGTAGTTTACCAGCAATTTCAGAGAAGTGTTTATTGAATATTCTGGCTGTTTCATTAGGGTTTGTTATTGTTCTGTGTCTATAGACTAGTTCAATATTTTGTGCTTTGTTATTTGCGGGTAATGTTTTTTTACAATATTCCACATAGCTTTTGTTTTATTTTTGGATTTTTTTATATACTCATCATTTGACATTTGTTTCGCCTTCATTATAACGTTTTTGAGTGTGGCTGAATATCGCTTATAGTGATTCACTATTTGAGGATTGCATGAGTGTTCTTTTGTGAGTTTATAAAGCTCCCTTTTTCTTTCACACGAGATTTTAATCCCCTTTGTTTTCCATGCTTTGCTGTTTTGTGGGTTGTTTATTTTGTGATGCTGTAGTGGATGTGAGATGTTGAAATAGTGTTCGATTGTATTGAAGAAAGTGTCAAACTTGAGGTTGGTGGCAGATATTTCATATATCCCTGACCATGATTCATTAGTTAACAGTGAGATGAGATTGATCAGGTTTTTTCTTTATACTTCCTAGTGTCCTTTATTAGTTTTGCTTTTGGTGAGGTAGAATTTATTTTGAGAGCGAGTATTTGAGCATTGTGGTCACGGAGCCCCATATCATTAGTGGTGATTGTGTATGTGTGTTTTGTTTTGTTATTCTGTATTACGGATAACGTTGAAATCTCGTGTTAGGTGGTATAACTTGGCAAGTAGTATTATATAGTCGCAGGAGTATAATATCTATCCATTTAATAAGACAAAATATCTAACATAGAATTTGGACGTATTAGCTTGTCAACAACTTCCGTCACTCCTGCATTCCAAAATAGTTTATTTCTTAATAACTATTGTTCTGCCGCATACATCACCTCGCTAATAATAATAATCATCATCATCATCATCAGATTACTGGTTTTATTCAAATTCTCTGCCAATTAGAGGATATTCTCAGGAATGGAATAATTACTACATGGTGGACTATAGCATGCAATAAAATCTGAGAATTGTCTAGGCTTATGTCTACTCCTATCTTTTCATGCCCAATGCTTTTCCATTTCAAGTTCGCGTTTATAGATGATGAAACTTGAAGAAAGATTCCCCTGCCTCTTTTCCCTGTCCCGCCGAAATATTTTGTAGTCGTTTGGCAAATTTCTGAATCTGATACTACTACAGTTAGCCTTGAATCAGTACCGATCACTAAGTCAACATCACATGTCTCAATTAAATTCCCTTATTCACAACACTTCGGCAGTTTACCTGCAACAGCTTTAGATCTTTACTCCTAATCCTTTCTCGGAAAGTGAATCTCGCGTTCCCCGCTTTTCTTCACTGCCCCGTTTGCTGCCTCGCCCGTTGTTTTGACCATTGCTGCCTCAGTCGCCTTCACCCTCGTCGCCGACACTCAAGTTTCCTATCTTGAGGAATGCCCTCCCTCCGTCTCCACTGTCACCAGCGAGAAGGGCAACATTACTGGGCGTCCGCCTTTTCAATGGTTTCACACAGGTGCGCTGCAAAACTCAGCAACTTTAATGAAAAGCCCACTTAGCTCGGCGACACCTTGCCGGTCCAAATTCGCGCCGTCATGACCGAGTCCACTCTCATTAATCCAGCCGTTTAGGTTAATTTAGTAAAAAAAAACAAAAACCAACAAAACAACAACAAAAAACAAACAGTAAAAACTTTATATGACGTATGGGGAAGAAGAGTATCTGCGCACGTTTTCTTGAGTTTCAGAATTCCTCCCCATCATTTTAACTGTAAATAGTTGAAAGATGAGTAGATGTTTAAAATAAATAAATAAAAATACATTTAAAAAAGCGTGACATTTGCAATATTAAAAAAAAAAAAATTTTCGTATCCGAGTTATAGAAAACTTATTTGCATCGGTAAACGAATTGCCGATATGATTTTTCTGCATTTGCTAACAAAAAAGTAACTCGTCCTTACCTCTACTCCTACCATTACAAACAAAAGGAGAGTTCAACAAAGCGTGCGCATAATGAAGCTACATTCACTTCCAGAAACAAAGCAAATGGTAATCTCAGCATTTGCTCAATGGATCAGGGAAACTGGACAAGAACCTGATCGAGATGGGGTCATTGACCTGGAATCTTAAGTACATTATTTGTCACAAATATACCAAGTATTTAAAAAAAATATACAATGCAAATGTAAGCCAATTTAATATATATTAATGTTTTGTTAATATAAACATTTTTTTCTTTTTGACAATCAGTGTAGTATCTAATTGTATAGAAACAGTTATGCAGCAGAAAAGATTTTACTCCTAACTTAAATTTGTGAACTTCAATTGTTTAATGTCATCAGCAATGCGCTGTAAAGTAACGTACATGTATTGTATGTGGATTTCTGATAGTGAGCTGTTGATACTGACACTTGATGAACGTGATTTTTACGACGTGTTTTGTGATTATAAATATCAGTATTGAATGAAAATATGTTCCCACTGTTAAGTAAGTCACTTTTAACAAATATTACAGATTCGTAAATACATAGGCAAGGCAGTGGTAAGATTGCAAGCTCAATGAAGAGAGGCTTGCAAGGGTAACGCGGATGGCATTATTTCATTATTCGGATAATTTTCTTTTGCAATCTAATGGACTGAGTACTACATGATGGGTTTT